TGAAAAATTGTGAGAGCTTGGAGTTCATCTAAGATGCCACATAGGAAAGAGAAATGTAACCGCCAGAACTCAACTATTATATAGATATATAGACTAAACACATTGGCATTTAAAACTGGGCTTACATCATAATATATATGAGCAAGCCCAACATAAAAGCCCAAAAATCTTAAAAACCAAAGAAATCGAACCGATTATCGGTTCGGTTTAGTATATTGGTGTAAAATAGTAAAAACCGGCCCATGCACACCCCTAACTGTCAGAGTGTCAGCAAGCTCCGCAAGGGTTTTGACTTGTTGAATAAAAAAAAAAAGGGTTTTGACTTGTAAGATTTTGGCCACTTTTTGGCCACTTTCACGATTCAGAGGGAATGAGTTAGGATTTTGGACTCAGAGATTGTGTTTGTGGAGTTCCTCTTCTCGAATAAATAGAGAGAGGGGTTGTTCTAAGTAGTACTAGTAATGGCTCTTCAACTTCCTGAAGACGACGAGGTAATGTTTCGTTTGATTCTCTCAAATTCCCATTCTCATTCTCTCTTTCTTTCTTTCTTTCTTACTTGAATTTCTAAATTGTAGGAAGAACGCATGCAGTATGGGGAAGATGTAGAGCCATTTATTGCTGCCCTTACCCAAGATGGTAGGCATTTTAAGCTTAATTGAACTGTTTCTAATTATTCAAGAAAATAACCCCCTTCCCTCTCTGTCACTGCGAATAACAAAAGAATTTCATCAGTTTTTGGTGGTTTAGGTTTTGTTTGTGTTGAACAATTGAATTTTTGCAAATAGATTGGACAATTTATAATGGTGCAAATACATTATGCAATACAACAAGGTTTTATATTCTTGATTGGACATAGTTTTAAATTTTCCCAAATGGTGTAATTTGTTGTTAAATACTGGATAGAGCTGGGAAAAATGGAAAATTGTTCATTTTGTCGATCACCAAAAAATTGTTTGTGTCTATGAGTGTCATTTTTTCTATCACATTAATAGATTAATCTAGATAACATTGATTTTGTAGCTTTTTGGTTTATAAGATACAATAAACTTGGTTACAATGTGTTGCCATTTGTTTAGTTTATGAACTTAATAACCACAATATATGCTAAAACAAAGACGCTTAGACCTTGGTTACCAAGTTTGAATGCCACAACAGTTTTGGATGAGTATATTTGTATATATTTTATGGGGGCCGTTCCATCCACTCCCACTCCCTATCACCTCAAAAACTAATCCAGATAAGCTTTATTATGTATCTTTTTGGTTTATAAGATACAATAAACTTGGTTACAATTGGTCGCCATTGGTATAGTTTTGGATGAGTACAGGTATAACCCTAAGATTCTAGAAATCCTTAGGGATACCCCCAGATTTGCATTTCAAGCCCGTCAATGTTACGTGATGTAGATCTTATGTACGCCACATAGGAATGTTACATCGTCTTTATGGTTTTTTTGTTGTTTGCAGGGACTGAGTTGCATTGCAGCATGAATATAAATATACATCCTATGTTCTGCATCCAGTTTACTCTTCTTTTCCATCTCTTTTTATACAAAACATCTCAGTACGAAGAAAAATATGTTATTAATATGTTTGCTTTTAAGATCTGAGTAGTTCCCCCGATTGTATTGGTGATAATAAGTTTATCTGCTTTAAGTGTTTCATTATTTTAGTGTATTCTTTATTTACCAAATTGCTTGTATAATTTTCATTTATTTATTTGTTGCTTGTGCTTTGCGTGACCTGAAATGCAGGCGTATTATCCCACGGAAGTAATTCTAGGCCAAATCAATTGTTTACTACATGGCAGGAATCTAACCAAGAAGAAAATCTCAATGTTAAAAACAACAATGCAGAAGTAAAGATTTCACAGAGACAAGAACAGACTTCATCTGATGAGCAGATGACACAACATGGATCTTGTTGTGAAAAGCAGGAGCAGCCTGTTGGTAACTTACATGAAGGTAAGTATCATTCTGATGCTGCCTAGTTAAATTTTATATTTCCGAACAAAAATATTCTAGTGTATTTACTTTTTGATATTTCCAGAAAGAAAACAGTTGATAGAGTTAACTATCAAAGTGAGGAACTTGGGATCTTTTTCGTTTTGTATTTTTCCTTATCATTTTTGTTGTTCATTTGGTTTTTATTTTGTCTTAATAGATGTTTTTGGTGGCTATGGCACCACCAATATCATTTCAATTTTTGGTGGAATTATAATTGTAGCTGCGAATTCTAGGATTACGAGCATTAATAAATTGAGTGAGTTGTTTTTAACTTGCAACTTTTTTTTTTCAATTGTTTTGCTTCAGCTTTAAATCTATCACAACATTTGCTATGACAACAATCAAAGATTTGTCTCCCCTTCACGAATGCATTTTGAAAGTGTGAAATCAAAGGAACTATCACATTCGTCAACCGCATCGTTTATTTTCTTGTAATTATTTTATAGGTGGACCTAAGAGGCTTATGGTCTATAATCGCTAATACATCGGCCCCCATTTTCTTTACAAATGTATTATTCAATCTCTAATCAATGAACTCATCCTCTTGGAGTTCTTTCATCACTCGCAATAATCTTATTTCAAGAACTCCCAACACTTCTTGAAGAACATTATTGGAAACCTATCTGATTACTGTGTTTTTATCTCTTCCAAGATTGTTGATTGCCTTATTGATTTCCACCTCACTAATACAAGCTTTCAACATTATCCATTCCTCCTCCGATATCATTGCCAAGTCAATGCCTTTTTACCTAGACCTCCATTTATGTGATTAACTGATTATTTTATATAGGTTTTCATAGTACCCAATGTTATGTTATGTTATAATTTCTTATGGTCATCCTCACACGACCCATCACCAATAAGTTTTTTCAAATCATTACAACAATCTTCAATTAGTCATTCTATGATAATAGCTAGTATCTTGTTATCCTTCCTTAACGTCCACCTAGGGGTGGCAATCAGGTCGGGTTGGGTCTGTCGGGTTGGCAGGTCTGAAACCCATGACCTGAACCTGACTTGCCAGGTTATCAGGTCGACCTGAACCTGACCTGATCCAACCTGAAATCCTGATAGCTTCAAGTTCATAGTATTACATAAACTTTAGAATCTAGTTCTTCAAAAGCACGCCCAATCTTGAAGCTAAAATACTCAATTCTTAAAACATCTAGTTGTTTCCTGATGACGAAAACAATCGAAGCAATTTGTTTTCAGCTTAGTTAATTAAATTTAGGCTTAACCAAAACAACAAGATTAAATTTAAGTAAAAAGTTCCTTCAAAACATTAAAATAAGATATTCATCAATGATGAAGTCTCAATATTAGCATGGTTTGAAACATCATAGGGAACCATCGATCGTCAGCACTCTCTAAATTAAAAAAATAAAAAAAAACAGAACCAATATACAAAATAAAAAAACGAAAAGAAATCGAAACAAGAATTGGATAATTTGCTCAGGTATGTGTTAAAAGGAAAATCTTTTCTTCGACCAATCACAAAGAAAGGTTTCATAATGAGTTGGGTATTAACAAACATCATCATTGCAACACACACTGCTAAAGAAATTTGAGAATTTAAAAACCATTTGATGAACAAAGCTATCAAAATAAACATTTAAATTTATCAAATCAAACAAACATTACCGATGAAGAAGAAGAAGAGAGATCGAGAGACGAAGGGAAAACTGGAAAATGGGTTTTCACTTTACCCTTCATAATATATCCAAATTACTGAATGTGTAATTTCTCATTAAATTATTGGGTTTTGGGTCGGGTTATCAGGACAGTGACATAAACCTGAACCTGACCTGATAACTTAGCAGGTCTATCGGGTCAACCTGATCTAGACCCAAAATTAAAAAAGGTATGACCCGAACCTGATTTAATCAGGCCAGGTTCAGGTCGGGTTGTCGGGTCGCAGGTCAGTTTGTCACCCCTACGTCCACCAGTCTTGACTTTTGACTCCACATGATCTCTTTCATAAGGACCCCATCATCCGTTCCCTCCTTAGCCACCTTCCTTTGTTATATTCATCGATTAAAAGATTACATTCTTTTTTCATTATCCAATGCGACCACCTTTCCATATCGATTTTGATCTTGCTTTCCATTTTGTTGAAAGATTTATTCTTCCATACTTATAATTTTTTTTTTAAAATAGCAGAAATTATTTGTCATAACTACCATATCATCTGTCCATTTTAAGTTTATAATTATATGTTATATTATTGTATTTTTTGTAGAGACTGATTACCACCAAAAAATATTTCAATACGATCACAATATCTTTGGGACCATGTGTGGCGGCAGGAGACTATCTAAAAGATTACAAGAACACTTGGAGAACACTATAAGGGATCATGAGGATATGTGCTACACGGTCCAAGATATTGCTGAATTGGCTATTAAGTGATTGACTTTGCAGACAGAAAATGCTCTGAAAGAAGTAGGAGATAGCCCTCCTCTAATTGGTGAAAAACCTTCTGAAGATGATACAATCAAGTATGAAGAGTGGGAAATAAAGAATCCTGAATATACAAGCTGGGAAAAAAAATACAACCATTGGTATCAACAATATGTGTGCACTGCTTCATTCATTTTTGGTTTTCAAGCAAAGGTAATTCTTATTTTTGTTCTTCTACAAAAACATAAGATCTAATGTACGGATAGGTTTGTTATTATTAACAGATAATTGTTTTTTCTTAATTATATACAGGTTCCCAAAGTCTACGTTGTAACCAGCAAGTACGAAATTCCAGCAGATATTTCAAAGAATTTTTCTTTGCAAGATTATAAAGAAGGCATCACCAAAGCAATGGATGAACTTGCTGTCTACCTGACTTCTTTCCCACATAACCATGTCTTAGGATCTTCACGTCCATTTGTGCGTGAATATATCGATAGATCTGAATACTTCAAAAGGTATGTCTTTTCACATTAGTTTTTTATTTTTTGCGCAACATAATATGAATCTTAATAAAATATAAGGTGTGAAAGTTTTAAA